TTCCAGGGATTTTCATGCGGGAAAGCATGTGAGCCTCACCATTTAGGAGGTGGATGTGGAGGGTGTCCATGTTCCCTTCTTTATGCATATGGTCAAATTTCTATGAAGTGAGCAAACAGAGAAAATTTTCACAAGGATTAAGACAACTCACGCTCTAGGACCAGTGGGGATCCTGAAGGCCCCAAGGATTCATGTCCCAGCAGGGAGTACTCAAATAAGACCTTATTCACTCTGGCCTCCAGTTTCCCTAAAACCACCTGCTTGTCCTTTGGACATCTCTCCCTTAGTGCTTTCCCGCTTCTGCCAACTCCCCTGCTAAAGCCACATCCTCGGGCCCATCCTGGTATACGACACCATCTTCCTCACGCTGGTCTCTTGTCCCTCCCTCATTCCTGGGGTGGGGTTAAGTAGAAGGAGTCTGCCTATCCCGGGCTGGGGGACACCTGCAACCCCGTGCAACCTCTCTTAGCTGCTGATGGGGTGGAGCTGCTTGATGCCATCTGTGTGCCCTTCCCTCTGTCCCACTGTCCTCAGCACTAGCTGCTGAGAGCTTCCCCAGGTTCAGTCACTGCCCTGTCCACCTTGCAAGAGAGACCTGGCCTCTACTCCAGACGCTTGCTATCTCCCAGCTTGCCCACATTGCTCCTTCTAGTTTGGTTCATATTTCTAAAGCCCCCTCCCTCGGGACAGGTCCAATTCCCATGGCAACCTGCTCCCTCTTTGGGGTGTTCATAATTCTAAGGGTTCCACCCAACTTCCATCATCCTACCCTTCTCTGTCAGGCTGACTTGGGAGTTTAGACAGGAGTATACTCATGTATGGGTGTGCCTAAATGGACAGACTAATGTGTAGGTATGTATGTGTAAACACAGAGGCCTGTTTGTATATGCATGTGGGCACATGTGAATACATGCTTGTGTGTGTGTCTATACATGGGTGCGTACTTGTGAGGGTGCCCATGAATGTATGTTTGCTTACATATACACACGTAGGTACATGGGTACATACGCATATGAGTGCATGCTTCTGATGCTCCCATACATGGGCATGTACTTACACATATGAACACATGTGGATGTCTGCACACTTACAGATACTCCCACATGGGGTGCGTTTTTGTGTATGTGCACACTTTGAGAGCATGCTAGTGTGTACTCCTAGGGGCTCTCTCTTTCCCAGCAAAAAATCCCACTGGAATTCCACGGCAACTTCTTCTTGCCAACCCCATGGCTCTTATTCCTTTTCTCTCTCCACCTTGGTTCCTAGGCGTGAGCTTACCTCACAGTGGCCTATCCATGGAAGACTGAAACGAACCACTGGCTCCCTGGAGTGAGGCCCCCTTCCTTCTGTTTCCTCTTGCTTCTATTTCCTTGATGGTGGGCCCACTGCTCCTGACGTGTAATTCATGCCCATGGCCTCTCTCTCCCCTGCCCCTGTCCACTCCATTGCACTCCTCATTGCTTTGTGCCTCCCAATGAGATTGTGACATCTTGCTTGCTTGCTCTGAGACTTACTTCTCCCAGCCTAGTGGTAATTAATTGCTTGTTTCGCCTGGCCTGACTCCTTCCTAATTGTCTGTAAGAGTGACGTCCCCTGGGGGCCCCCATGCCTCCAGAGGCCCCTTTACTGTGGGTCAGGACTCACCTTTGCATTCCGTCCACGTCCAGACACCCACCACCGGTGTCTGTTCCTTCTCTCCTGGTGAGCTGCCACCTGCAGCCCCTGCTGGACACGGCTCCTCCCACCCATCTGGGCTCTGAGGAAAGAGCAGTATTCAATCTGCAAAGAGTCACTCTTAATCTCCTGTGTTTCCTTCCAGAAATAGAGCTCTCGGGTGTGACGGGATCACTAATTCCAGCCCAGGCCAGTTCCAAGCCGGGCTCCGTCTGTGGGGTATTAGAATCACATGAGCAGGCCCGTGGCGGTGTTGGCCGCTGCCTGTTGGGGTAAAGTGCTCTGCTCTGATTCTTAAAATAAACATGTGTGGGCCTTCTCTGTGCTAGTGGGCTCTCCTTTCTTCCCTGGTTCATTCTCAAAACAACTGTGGGAGATGCTGTCCTCACTTTACAATGACAAAATAGGAGCCCAGAGAGCAAAGATGCTTTTTTTTTTTTCAAGGAAGCTAATGGGCAGAGGCCCTTTGAATATCCCTCTGTACCTAGTGGCAGTGGCTCTGCCCTATGAGAAGCTGATCACTTAGAGATAATGGTCACAGATGGGGTTCTGTGCCTTTTGCCTGTTCACCTAGATGCCAGACTAGGATGTTTTCTGGCATGTTGGGGCCTCTCTGCACCAGCTCTCCTTGTACAGGGTCCCTTCTTGGGCCTCATCAGTACCCAGAGATCGAGGGTGTTATCTTTAAGTCTATCTTGCCCCTGTGGTTTTGTAGAGCCTGAAGCTCAGGGAAGAGAGTTGAGGAGGATGTCCCTGGGCTTGGACAGTGTGATCTGGTAAACAAGGCTCATCTCCAGCTGGGAGGTGGTTGGAGGCCATGGAAATTATGAGAAAGGCCGGGGCGTGGACTCTCCTTAGGTCTGGCCATGCTTCATGCTGATTCTTCAGATTCCATTTGCATATATGGGTGCTGTCTGCAGTGTCTGTGTGTCTGGGCGTTGCCAACAGTGCCTGTGTGTCCGGGTGCTGCCGTCAGTATCTGGTTGGTGCTCTCTGTGTCTATGTGACTGAGTTCAGTCATTAATGTCAGGTTGCTGCTTCCAGTATCCCTGTGTCTGCGTGCTGCTGTTAGTGTGCCTGGATACATTGTCAGGGTCAGTATGTTTGGGTTCTGTCATCAATGTGTGCAAGCTCATATAGTGTCCATGTGACCATTTAGATTACAGGAGTTCAGTGAGACATGTTTAGCAAGCCTCAGGCAAGGGGACAAACTGACAGCAGGATCTGGAACCGTAGCCCTATGATATCTCTGCTGTCAGGATTGAAACTGTCCTCCTGGACGCCAGTCCCTGCTCTCGTCTTTGACCAGGTAGGTAGACATCTGTGATGGGAACACCTCGACCCATTCTGGCCGTCTCTCACACCTACTGTGCTGTGAACACGACCTATTGCTAGGGCAAGGTAGCTGAGGAAAGCAAATTAAAGGATGGTTTCTTGTGGCTCAGAGCTTAAGGCTGCAGTCTGTAGTGGTGGGGAAGGCAGGTAGCAGGAGCCTGCGACAGCTGGTCACACTCATATGAGGCCAGGAGCTAAGGGAGGAAAATTGGTACTCAGCTCATTTTTTCCTCTTTGTGAGATCCTAGAACACAGACCCCTGGGTGATGCTGACCGTATGTAGGGTGGTTTCCTACCTCCACTTAATCTAGAAATGTCCTCATAGCCATGCCCAAACATTTGTTTCCACGGTGACTCTAAATCTCATCAAGTTGATCATCAAGATTAGCCATCACGGCCCTCCTTCTCTGCCTTGCCTCCTACTGCAGAGACCACAGGCAATGTCTTATGGCATGGGATTCTCTTCCAATCTTGTCTCACAGTCCGTTCCAGCTACCTTACAGCTGCCATGCTCCCTTTCTTTGCATCCTCTGGGCCTGCTGCCTAGCAGTGTGTACTTTCCCTAGAATCTCAGCGTCTTGATGCCATCTCTGCTTCCTAGGATACTGAGTCTATAGACTTCTAAAAAAGCCGTGAACTACCACAAAGATCTGCCCTACCTATGCACGCATCTATTCTTGTGGGCCCTGACTGCTGATTCAATTTGAGCCACGATCTTCAGGTATGGCACATGTATCTTACCGGGACAATGTGAACACACTGACCCGAGAAGAGTGTATTTCCTAACTTGGGGCAACCAACAGGGACCTTGGCCTCAGTCACCAGAGGTTAGTCCCTGGAGGATTTGGACTTGAGATCCAGGGACTCTGTGTGTTGTGTGAACAATCCATGCCACAAAGATACATGCCACCCATTAGAAGCAAACCCCAGAGATCTAGGTGCTTTTTATGTCTTATGGTCAGACTGGGAGCTCTCTGCTTCCATAGCTTCCTTGACTGCTTTTTGCATTGGCCAGCAATGTGAAAGGTTCTGGATACTCTTTCCTTATTTAGCCCCTCACCATGTCTGGTGACTCCAGGGCCAAGAGGGGCTCAGCTGGTACTGAGTTACAGAGTCTTAAGGTCACTGGGTCATACCAAGTGCTCTTAGGAAGTCTTCTGAATGGCCTTCGGGGAAAAGCATCTCTATTAGGGGGTCATACTGCTCCAGAGAGGCCTGGCTAGCTGGTCTTCCTACCTGCCTGATTGAACATTACTCTAATTAATTCCTTGCCTGCCTGAGCCAACTCCAGGGAGAGATCCGCACAGAGGGAGCACCCCAGTCCCCTTGGAGCTGGATTAAAGCACTCTTTGTCCAGGGATCTTCTCAGTCTTTAATGCCCCACAGGAAATATGTCAGGAAAACTCTCCCAGTACTGCCTGTTCCTTCCCTGAGCCCAGCTCCGTTCCTCTGACTACAGAGCCAGGCAATTTGAAGTTCATTTATTTCCACTGACTCCTGCCCACTCTCCATCCATTGCTGTGAAATTAACAGGAAAAAATTACAAATTGCTAGAAGACAGAGACCTTTAACAGTGAGCACATTGCCTTATGCGGGTTTGATAAGCTGAAGACATTAAAAATAGAAGCAACACGGCTCTAGGTAGACCAGTTGTCATGAAATTTTAATAAGCTCCAGCTATAGGCAAAGTTTAATAGCTGGCCAGCCTGAGGGAGGAAGGTCACACCCAGGCTTGTACTGAGCCACTTTGGGCATGGTAGCTGTCCTGCTATCCATGGCCTCATCCCTACACACCTCCTGGCTCCATCTCAGGCCTTTGTCACCATGAGTCCCTCTGTTCCTCCCTCAGGTGCTCCCGGAGGTATCAGACATTTGCCTGTGTTTGTCTTAGTACCTTATGGACATCTTGGGGCGTGGTTAGGGGAAGTTGAATTTTATCTTATAATTAATCAATTATTTGTATGTCTTCAGAATTCAGAGCAATAAGAGCCAACGGAGTCATTAATAAGGCACTCAAAATTTCCTGTACACCCTGGAGGGTGTCAGTCTGAGACTTGTGTCCACCACACTGCCCATCTGTGAGTCTGTTTCTGCAGCTCTCTCCTCCAGAGGCAGGTATGTGGGGTCACCTCCATGCTTGTGTGGTTCCTTCATTGTCCCATAGATCCCGAGCCCTGCTGTGACTTTTCAGAGGAGACGCTGTCGAGAGAGATGGTGACTCTAGGCTCCATGGCAACCCTCTTTTCTGGAGATGGTCTCTGGAGATATTCTACACAGGTGCTATGGGCAGTCTCCTATCCTCCAGAGCCAGCTCCTGGAATGAGGGTCTGCCTGCATGCTCATGAATTTTCTATTTAGATGTAGACACTGTTTGCTGTGGATAATTTAGGGTTCACACAAAGGTGTGCAGGGCTTCTGACTGACCTTCGGTCTTGACACCCTACTGTGTTGATTTTGCAAACTTCAAATGCTCCCGCCCTCCTCTGGAATTACGCAATTCTCCTAGCAAGGTGGCGGCATTCTTAGAAACCCGCTACCTGTTTCTTTGGTTACTTCTAGAAGACCGAGTAACAGAGCAGAGGAAAGGTCCCTACAGGGTTGTCCCTGGCACCTGGTCATCTCACTTCTCTTGTAGCTGTTTCATCGGCATGGAAAGTTCTCAGGACTCTGCCCTTAGGAGCCCAGAGAATGATGTCATATACTGATATAGGCAAATGGGGGTGGAGGCAGAATTTGGGCCTGGGTAGTAGGATTTTCAATTATCTTGGCGTGGCATAATTGTGGATCATATGTCAGTCTGACCAGGCCAAGTGTGTGACCAAACATCATGCTGTCTTCATGGCTGTTTCTGAGCGACACATATGTCTGGGCCAATGAGCTAAAGAGTGGAGACCAGGGTGGGGCCTCTTACCCAGTTTTCCAGAACCTTGGGCAGAACTGAAGGGCAAAGGGAGCATGTGCACTGTGTTGAGCTGGCATGACATCTGCCTTCTTCAGGACTGTGGTTTAGACTCCATCCACTCTGCATGACCACCTTGGCCTCTAGCTTGGCACCTGCAGATCATGAAAATTGGTTTCCAAGGTGGTACAAACCAACCTTTTTAAATCTCTTTATGTATTTATACCTTCTACAGGTCCAGCTTCCTTGAAGAGCAGAGTCTAACAGTTGGTTATGTGAGCCTTGGCTTGGACTCCTGGAAAGAGTATTAAAGAACTATTAAAACCCTGAGGACTCTATGAGATGAACTAAATGCATAATGGAGGCCATCGCCTTTGGGAAGTTAGGGACAGAGTGCTGTGGTTTGGATGAAGCATCTTTCAACACAGACTCATATGTTGAAGATTTATTCCCCAGATTGTGGTGGAGCTATTGCAGGTGATTGGATAATGATGACACTAATCCCACCAATGAGTCAATTCACCGATGAACTCATATAATTCATAGGTGAGGTCTAGGGGCTGGGTGCTTAAGGGGTATTTATGCTGGCTAGTTTTACATCAGTTTGACACAAGGTAGAGTCATATGAGAGGAGGGATCCTCAACTTTAAAAAATGCCTTTTTAAGATCAGGTTGTAGGCAAATCTGTAGAGCACCCTGGGCTGGTGGTCCTGGGTCTTATAATAAAGTAAGATGATTAAGCCATGAGGAGCAAGCAAATAAACAACATTCTTCCATGACTTCTGCATCAACCCCTGGTGCCAGGTCCCCGCTCTGCTTGAATTGCTCCTCTGACTTCCTTCAGGGCTGAACAGTGATGTGGAAGTATAAGCAAAACAAACTATTTTTCAACTTGCTTTTGGTCATAGTGTTTCATTGAAGCAACAGGAACCCCTAAGACAGGCTTCATGTTCTTCTGCCATGAGTTTTTGCCTTGCTAGGAGACTAAAAGCAATGGGGCACCTCTCTTATATTGTTTACCTTGGACATTTTGTCATGGCACTTAATTGCTGCCTGACACACTGTGGGTTGACCAAAATATCTTGACTAGTCCAATTATATACTTTAGGAATAACAAAACAAAACACATAACAGTTTTATAACAACCTGTTTCTAAATGTCCAGACTTCCTTGGATGAGACTGTGTCCTAAAAGTACCTTGCATACACGTGAACAGACATCTCATATCTTTAAACTGATCTGAGAACTTTCTGATTTCAAAAAATGCTGAGTAATCAGAGTAAGATGCTCATGTGCTCCCTGGGTACCCCCAAAAAGACAACCAGGATGGAGCCTGCCATTGTGGGTGCCCTTGCTCAAGCACCTTGCAGACTCCCACTCCTCACTTGGCATTGGGATGATCAAAGACAAGACAAAAGAAAATGTTTTACAATCACACAAGGTCAGAAATTACACGGCAGAGACCTGCTGAGGAGAACGTGTTTTGATCAATGATTCACGAGTCTGTAGGATAAAGAAAGGAATAGCAAGCTTCTTCCCCAGTAGAGACTGCATAATGCAGCAGAGCCCTGGAGGGATGCTCCTGCCCTGGAGGGATGCTCCTGGCCTGGAGGGATGCTCTCTGTCAGCATAGGAAAGCTCAGCAGAGTCTTTACCCATATGCCTACCACATTCTTGTCTGTGTGCTGGTAACCCAGATGGAACTGGCTTTCCATGGTTTGGGATTCTTGTCCCTGTTCTAGTAAATGCATTATTTAGCTCCACAAAACTTGGAGTCTGTGTGCTGGAAGGTGACCTCCCCCCACCCCAGGGATCATGGAATAACCAAGGAAAAGAAAGTGAAGGTTTTTAAGACAAGTTGATTTCACCCTTGTGTCCAGGTAGAAAGGCCAGAATGGGAAAGGCCAATGCAACGATTAATTTTGATTAACTAGATTGGATTTGGAATTACCAAAGAGACAAACCTGGTGCTGTCAGGGGGGTTAGCTGAGGAGAGGAAGACCCACCCTGTGAGTGAGAAGCACTATCCTGCAGTGTCTACTGGGGGCCCAGATCGAATAAACCAAAAAGAAAGCAGAAGTCGACTGGGCGCCAACATTCTCCTTTCTCTGCTTCTTGACTGGGCATGCAGTGTAACCCCCTCCACCATACTGTCTCCACCATGGTGGACTATATCTCCTCAAACCATGAGTATAAACAGACCTTCCTTGTGTTGCTCTTCTCTGGCATTTTGTCACAGCATGAGAAAAGTACCTAATACAGCCAACAATGAATACATCGGAGGGCCTTCAGGGAGAGACTCCTAATTGCTGAGGAGTCAGCCTGATAGAGAACAGAGCAAGCAGGCAGCTGGGATGAAGAAGTGGAAGTCCTCAGGCCAGACTTCAGCAGCCGTCCTGACCTTCATGGTGGGTGCCTGCTTTTGAGACCAGCCTTGGTAGCTGCTATCTTGTATGTGCTGACCCTACTTCTCTGAAGGGTCTAGGTTGTTCTCAACCTTCCTAATGCTGCAGCCATTTAATACAGTGCCTCATGCTGAGGTGACCCCCCAACCATAAATTTTTTGTTGTTACTTTATAAATGCAATTTTGCTACTGTTATTAATCATAATGTAAATATCTGGAATGCAGGATATCTGGTATGAGACCCCTGTGAAAAGGTCGTTCGACCTCTAAAGGAGTTTCAACTCACAGGTTGAGAGCCATGGGTCTAGGGTAATTTCAAATAACTCCAGGATTTGCAGACTGATAGGCCTCAGCCTCCTGAATCCTCTGAAGGGAGATTTAGAGATTCCAAGGTCTGAGCCCACTTCAGCCTCTAAAAATCTAGAATGAGGGGATTTTGTAGGAAAAATGTTCAGACGGAAAAATTTAAAATAATATAAAAGATACGGCTGAGCAATTACTTTTTTTTATTTTTGCAGGGGTCCTGGGTTCAGCTTTTAGCACTCACATGATGGCTCAAAACCATCTGTAACTCCAAATCTAAGGGATCCAATGTGCTCTTCTGATGTTTACAGTACCAGACATATACATGGTGTGTGGGCCATGCATACAGACAAAACATCCATGCACATAAAATAAAATAAATCTAGAAACAGAAGAATGTAAGTAGATACTAGCCCTTCGAGGGGGAAGAACTTGGTTTTTACTGCGGGTATGGACCAGACTTGGGGGCTCTTTTGCAAGAATTCACCAGTTATATGTGATGTCAGATGCTGTAGACAAAAAGGGAGGGCACTTTACCTCCACAAGGCCACGCCCCCTGATCACAAGGAAACACTAGGGACATTCTACAGGACAACTAACAGCATCTACAAGGAAGAGCATGGTGTATACCCAGCTTGGGGGAAATGAGAGAAAGGACCACCGAAGGCAACATAGAGTCCAGCCTGGGAGCCTTGATTGGAAGAAGGACGACATTAGTGGCCAAACTGTGGAGAGCCATCTAAACGCTGCCATCTTTGTTGGATTGAGAAGTGCCTGGCAGGTTAATGTCTTAGTTAGGTTTTGATTGCTTGAAGAGACACCATGACCACCGCAACTCTTATAAAGAAAACAAATTGGGGTGGCTCACTTACACTTTCCGAGGTTCCGTCCATTATCATCATGACGAGAAGCCTAGCAGCGTGCAGGCTGACGTGGTGCTGGAGCTGAGAGTCCTACATCTTGACTCACAGGCAGGAAGTAGACTAACTGTCACCCTGAGTGAGGCTTGAGAAGAGAGACCTCAAAGCCCACCTCCACAGTGACACACTTCCCCCAACAAGGCCGCACCTTCGAAGAGTGTCACACCCTTTGGGGGTTATTTTCTTTCCAACCATCACAGTTAGGAAAGTGAACCGCTGGGTGTGGCTCTGAAATCATCGACAGTTACCTAAGATGAAGAGGAAGATTTGTCCCGAATGTGAGTGGTAGCATCTTGTGGGCTGGGGACACTGATGTAATTAAAAACAAAAAGGAGAAAGTGAGTCAAGTATGACCATTCATCTGTTCCTGGTCTGCCCAGATGCAAGCATTCTGCTCCAGCTGCCACAGATCTATCTGACACCATGCTTTCCCCGTTATGACCTCAAACCAAGAGTCAGAATATTTCTCCCTTAAGCTGGTTCATATTTGGTATCTAGCGGAAGCTCTAGGGAGAGTGACGAACACAGACTCCTTGCCACTGAAGGCTTGAGACCTTTGATACTGTGAGACAAAGTGAATCCCTCCCTAGAAAAGGAGCTCTCTTAGGGAGTTTGGTCACGGTGGAAGAGTCCAACACTGCCCCATGGCTAGGACTTCAGTAGTTTGTTGAAGTGGTGAGGGTGAACATGTTTACCTTGTACCGGGTCATAGAAAGAATTTTTCAACTTTCCCAAGCTTCTGATTTGACTGTGGGCCTTTCAGGCACAGCCTTCATGATATTTGTCTACATTTTGTGATTGAGAATTAAAATTATAAGTGAGTGTTAAACTTATCAAGTATAGTTTTGTGATTATCGAGATAATCGTATATTCCTTCCATTTTTTAATGTGCGTAACACGGATTTGCATTGTGATTAACCATCCTTGCCTTCTAGAGATAGTCACCTTGGTCACGGTGCATGATCCTCTCAACGTGCAGCTGAACACAGTTTTCTGATGTCTTCCTGAGGAGTTTTGGATGTATGTTCCTCAGATGAATGGTACTGTAGCTTTCTTTCCTGAGGAGTCTTTGGTTCGGGAACCCAATGTTGTTGACCTCGTTAGATAACTTTGAGAGTGTTGCCTTCTCTTCTACTTTTAGAAACAGTTAAGGAGGATTGATATTGATTCTTTGAAGTTTGTACAATGCACTCATGAAGGCATCTGGCCCAGAGGCTTGTCTTTGGTGGCAGTTTTATTTTATTAGTTCAATCTCATTTGTTACTGGTCTATTCTGTCTTTCTGTTTCTTCTTGATTAAGGTTTGGTCAGTTGTTCATTTCTAGGAAGTTATTCATTTCTTTGGGGTTATCCAGTTTCTTTGATGTCTAGCTGTTCACAGCAGTCCCTTGTGATTTAAACAATACTGTGAGTTCTCTTCTGTTATCGTTCCACTTTCGTGGTGGATTTTTGCCTTCAAGATTTTCTCTCTTGTTCTAGTTTTAGGATTCATCATTTTAACATTGCATACCGACATTTTTGTCTCTTGAGGCAATGTTTGCCTAGAAATTTCTCATTTGATGTCTCTATGGCTGTGCCTGCCTTCCTTGTAGATATTAATCCCACAAATAGATTTTTTCCACCTATTTGTTTCCTGCAGAGCTGTGTTTCTAAACATATCATGGGTTTCTCATAGACAGTGTATTCCTGGATATTGATTTATGTCTGTTCAGAACCTTGTTAAATCCATCTGATTTAAAATACTTATTAATAGATGACTATCTATTATGGCTGCCTTGCTCGTTGCTTCTGTTTTACAGTTATTATACCTTTGCCCACCTTGTATAGCACAGCCATGTCACGTGATAAGCCTTGCAGTGGTTTGCATAGATTCTTGCTGTTTATATGTTGTATGTCTGCTATAGGCTTCTCTGTTGTGT